GGGCGGTCGGCTAGTCCCGGCCCAGCAGGGGTCACACTCGTGGACCCGCAGCTTCGACCACCGCCCACTCCAGGCAGGGGCCCGGCCCCCCACACGGACTCCTCAACAGAGAGGGACCCACCCAGTGTCGCAAACACCGAGAGCGCTTTGTTCTGTGCCGGCGACGCGGCTGGGGACGAGATGGGGCGAGAAGCTCTGTCAGAGGACGCATCGAAAGTTACCCACACAGAAAAGAGCCTCTCACACATCCTGCCGACAAAACCCGAGGCTGGGACCCCAAGTGCGGGGTCCGATATGCTACCACACCTGCAGCTTCTGGTTCTCTCTGTCCAGGAGGACCCAGGCCCGTCTGCGGTGCCACCCTCTGTGACGGAGCAGGAGGAGCTGGGGGTTCCAGGCATGGGGTCTCCTGCTCTGCTACTTACTTTCAAGTCACGTCACCTGCTTGGGCCCCACGCTGGCGGCTGGCACCCAACAGGCTTGCCATCAATGTTCTCACTGAGTGAGCCGTGAAATTGGAACATTTTCCCATTTTACCTCATCTTTAAGAACGCGGAGCAGACTAGAGGGTTCACTGTGACTTGCTGGTGTTTTTAATCTCCCTTTCCTTTCTTCCTTCTTTTCTCTCTTTTTAAACCCACTTCCCACCGTCTCCTTGAAGAATTCAGATAATTTGCTCTTCAACAGTCAGAATTCCAGAAGACATAACGCATCAGCTGTTGGGATTCCCGCGATCCGAGCCTCAGTTTTGTCATCTGTGAAATGGAGCCGGCCGCCCTTCTCACGGGTTATTGATGAGAAGCAAGGAAAAGAGCCTCATCATGCGCTATGCGACGGTCCTGTGACCGTCACAGCCCTTGGGCATCACGTGTCACATCAGACTACCGAGGCCGTGGGGTCTGGCTTCTGCTGAGGACACGGGGGACTCTCAGACCAAGGGAGCCCCGAGGGATGACCACTGAGGCTGCTGAGTGGGTGGGACCAACACGCCGTCTACATGGGGCATGAGGAACACTCCTTCCGGAGCTCTGTGGCCCGCAGCTGTCGGGGTCTCCGACCTCCAGCCTTGGAAGTGAAGAAGTTCGATTAGTTGTTGCCTATCATCCTTTTTAACTCCCAGATCTGGGATTTCCAGAACGAAACAGCTATCCTTTCTTCTCCGTGATGAGCCCCATATGCACGGCCACCTGACGCCCAGTGAGTCAAACAAACCAACACTCGGCCCTCGTCCTGCCTACAGCTCCAAACGGAGCCCGCTTCTTATCCGGGAATTCCTACAGCAGAGTTGGGAAAATGAGGACAATTTTTTTTTATCACAAAAACAACCGAAATCCCAATCCCTACCAAATTTGAAAAGTCCACAAATCTCTACCCTTCATCGAGGTCTCTCGGACCTTGACTCTGGGTCTGACAAAGACCCCAAGATTCGCATCCCTGCTCACGCCAGGCACTGGCCAACATGTGCCTCTCTGTTTAGGTCTGTTATTACGTCTTCTGTCTTCTGTGCCCTCAGAAGATTCCAGGCTCACGCGGGTAGGAGCGGGTCCCTGGCCCCACGCCCCCATAGCCACCCATCTGTCCCTGGAGCTTCCCCTGCTGGCTCTGTGCTCTCCTCCTGTGTTCCTGCGTCCCCAGGCGGTGCTCACAGCCACAGTTAGAGAGCCCTCCCTGGTGTGTGTGGGGTCAGCCCCCTCATAGGGACCCCTCCAGCACGAGCACCTCTGTCGCAGTCTGGGGCCTCTGGAGAGCACTCCATGGGCTGGCTCAGGGAAGTATCTGACAAGCTTGTGCAGGCAGAGTGATCTACACAAAATTGGCCAATATTTCTGCACTCAGTCACTTCTCTCAAAGACTGGCAAAGGTCGCCAGTGGCATCCTAGACCCATGCTCCTTCGTCCTGTGACGGTGACAGGAGGCACCACGGGCCTCCCTCCCTCCTTCCTGGGCTTCCCTTGCACCTTGGTGGCGGGCCCACATGAGGGGGTTCGGGCTGCTGGAAGTGCCGCGTACCGCTGCTGGGCTGTGCGAGGTCCGATGTCCTGACCCACAGCATCTTCCCTTTCTCTTTCTTCCCGTCCAGGTGGCCGGAAGCTGGGGTGATGATGACGGGCTGCAGTCTGGAAGGAACTTGCAAGCCCATGTTCCTCCCAGAAGAGCGACAAGGATCACACCATCTGAACTTTGTGTGAGCGAAATACAAACCTTTGTTTTGCTGTGTCGTGTGCTGGACTGCGTCCCCCAAGATGCCGAAGTCCTAACCCCCCCATATCTTATTTGGGATGAGGGTTTTTGCAGAGGAAACAAGTTTAGTTGAGGCCATCAGGGGCCCTGATCCAATACGACTGGTGTCCTTAGGAAAAGGGGGACGTTTGGACACAGGGACGCACACAGGGAGGCCGTGTGAGGAGGCAGACTGGCTCTCACACAAGCCAAGAAACACCCATAATTGCCAGAAGCCACCAGAATCCGGGCAGAGACCTGGACCAGACTCTCCCTTACAGCCTCCGAACAAAGCCGCCTGCTGACACCTCGCTCTTGAACTCGCAGCCTCCAGAGCCGGGACAGAATCCAGCGCCCCATGTGCGCCGCGCTGGGACGGGAGCCCCGGGAGACTCCCACGTGAAGATTTGGGTGGTGGCACTCCCAGCAGCTGTTAGCGCTCGGCCATGAAACCCCGACTTCCTCTGAGGTGCAAGGAGCCGGGACAAAAGCCATCTCTGTGCGCTCTCCACAGCCAGCGGGACGCGGGACTAAGCTGTGACCGGCAACAGGAACGCGGGCGTGCGGGTGGCCCCTGCAGGAAGCCAGCCTGCAGGGACGGTCGTGCTTTGCCCTCTCTCCACCTTCTGGCCACTTTGCATCACGAAGCCGCTCAAGGCTGGAAGTGACGAGCTGGACCAGCGGTGGGGCAGGCAGGAGGGCATGATGACTGTGGAGCTGGCGTGGCAGACGGGGATGCACACAGACAGCAACGTGTTCCGTCCCGTTGAAGCGACTGCTGTGTTAGGGTTCCGTGACACCGCCAGACCCTAGCTGACACGCGAGGTTCTTCTACTTTAAAAGAAGCCTT